CTGCTAAGCAAGCCACGTGGATACCTCACAAAGGCCTATAAATACCCCCAGGGGCCACCTCAGAAAGGTAATTGAAACCAACCCTAAGCTCTTTTTATCTTCGCTCTAAAGGTAGCCCCAATTATTGCAGACTTAAGCATCGGAGTGTCTACCCCGAGTTCCACCTCGAGGCTTTGCAGGTTTTCCCGGAGTGCAAGCGCGGACTGAAGAAGGACTTCTGGTTTGGTGCAATTACAGAACGGCGAATGCCTGCACTACACCCAGGTGGTTTGGCGTAACACCGTTCATCTCGGGTGCGGTCGGGTCAAGTGCAAGAATGGGTGGGTCTTTGTGATTTGCAAGTATGATCCCTACGGAAATATTGAGGGCCAACGTCCTTACTAATTAAACATGGGTGTATTAAGTTGATTTCTATGATTCCTTTGGATTTGGAATAATTAAGTGAAATAGTGGATCGGAGTTCGTTTAGTGTTTAACTACATGTCCCACTATTTAACAACAGTAATTTAAATTTTATTTTTTAATTTTTAAAAAATTGATTTACAGTCATTAATGCCAATTTTTAGTCAGTTGAGTTTACTAGAACGATGTTGTTTAGTGTTAACGGTTTAGTAATCCCAATTTTGCCTCTTCTCATCTTCATCATTCCCTTATTTCAGAAATTCACAAATCCTTAGTATAAATTCCTTCTCCAAATTAATTCTTCATCTTCGCACCAATAACCTTTTCACTTCTTTGATTTTCTTATGTATTTCATTATTCAAAAACCTTCTATTCTATCCTTTGATTTTCCCAAACTTGATTCTACGTACTCTTCTTCAATTTCCTCTTGAGATCTTTGCTAGGAATCATTGAAAACTTTAAAGAGTAAAGGGGGAATAGCTAGAAAACAAAGAAAGAAAAATAAAATAAAGTGAAAGAATAGCTGAATTTATAGAAAACATTACAGCTCTTTGGTACATATGCTCCACAATGCTTCTTATTTTGGTCCAAAACTTTGGTTTTTTTTTTTTTTTTTTTGCCCCGAATAACAGGGATCCATTGGGAGCATTCGAGATAAGTTACCCTTTTATATTATTTTTTGAATTGTTTTAGGTAAGGTCTTTATTTCATTATCATGTTCATTATGTTCATTATATATTGTTAATTTTTCGACCTAGAATTCTTGCAAAAGATAGTTTAGCTAAAAGAGGGGTTTTACTTGATGGTGCTTTTGCTACTTGTGGGCTTTGTGAACTAACTTTAGAAGAATCAAGCCTTTTATTCCTTAATCGTATAGTTGCTTATTGACTTTGAATGAGATGTTATGCATGGTGGGGTTTACTTTTTGTGCTCCCTAACTTATGTTTGGATTTATTTAAACAACATGCCTGGTTCAGGTATGACAAGTCAGTGAGGAAAGGATGGTATATAATCTAAGTTGGTATTTTATGGAGATTATAGTTGACATACTTTTTGTTTGATGAGATGACCAAGTCGAGAAGGAATAAGGAGTGAGGGGCTTTGCTGAATGTTTAGTACCTTGAGCTCTTATTGCCTTGATGGGATCATTTATTTAATGTATGCAAGTTCTGTTCTTATGAGAAGAGGAAAAAAAGTTACATTGGACCTATTTGGAATATAAGTTTTCTTTGGTTTTTTTTTTTTTATTATAAAGAAAGGGAAGTTGTATCATTCAATAATGTTTCCTTTGGAGTAATTCTTTTGCTTTTCTAGTCTTATTTATTGAATGCTATAGTTGAATTTATATTCAGGCTAGTCAGATATCTAAGTGCATGTTGTTGACATTTTAGTACTTCTTAGTTCTTAGGAAATTGGTTATTCATTATTATTTGCAAACTTAAATGTATATGAATTGTCCAAAACTTTATTGCTTCATATTGTTTTTATGTACTCTTAAAAGGTTCACTCATGTAGGGTGAGTGCTTTGAGGACGTTTACGATTTGATTTTTCACCTTCAAGAGTATTGTAGCTTTCAGTTCCATGATTTAGTTTTTCATATTCTGAACAACCTTCATTAGCCTTCATGATGAAGGCCAAAGAAAAAAAAAGGATGAGTTTTTGAAATGGGGGGAAGGTGGCACTCTTCATGTTTGATTTTGATACTAATTTCGGTCAATTATACATTTGAGTTCTATACTCTTTAGTTGAAATAAACAAATAGATGTGACTATGGAAATTTGTAAAAGAGGCCATGGAGCTAGAAGTGTAAAATCAAGATTGCTGCTACCATAAATGGCATCTGGAGAGCAAGAGCTAGTTGGTGATGCTTGAAAAAGTATAAAATGTAAATGGTATTTCCAAGATTGTAAATACACAAATTTTGATTCAAAGCTTTGTCAAACTGTAAAAAGAAATTTCCCTAGGTATGCCCAAGTGTGAGATGTAGAATGCTTTTGATGCAATGGAAAGAGCTTGCCTTTTATCTAAAATAAATTTCAATCAATTGTATACTTTTTTCTATTCTACAATCGAGGCAGATTTATCTTCTTTGTGTATAACGTTGTGAAATTGTATATAAGAAGAAGCATCTATATGCTTGTGATACTAATTTTACATGAACATGTTAAAGAGATATAATAAAGTAGTAGAAGAAGCAAATTTACAGCTAACTTTACAATAACTGAGAGATTAAACTAACAGCAAGTTAATAGACAAAAGAAGCCCTTGACTTGTCTTTGATCAATACAATAACAAGTAAGCATAAAAAAGTTCCCTTGATAGTATAATACTATAATCTCATCCTAAACCAACAAAGGCAATATTTAAGCTCAATTCCATAGAATCATGACATTGAAAGGAAATCACATTTTTTGAATAGCCTCTAAAATTTATCTGCAGCAAAATGAAAATCTCTTGAACTTCACATTTAACCAAATGAAATTTATGCCTATAAAAGTAAAAGAACTGAAATTAAATACTTAAAGATGAGAATGAAATCAAACCTATATTTAAGAGAGAAATCAGAGCTATTGAAGATGAAAAGAGAACAAAATGAAGGAAATTTGATCAAAGAGAACTAAATGGCAATCAAACCTGTGAGAAATCGTAGCAATCGAAGGAAGAACAAGATGATGTAAAATCTATCAAACTTCAGAGATAACAGGCAAAAAGCACCCAGCAATGGAAGAGGCAAATCACATATGAAGAAAAGAAATCATTCATGAAGAAGACACATCAACAGATTGGAGGTTAGGGATTTTGTTTGATGAAAGGGATAGAATGGGAAAATGGAGGAAGACGAGGAATAGAGACTTTAACATTAGAACGATATCGTTTTAATAATCCCCTCCGCTTAAAAACTAGCACCACTGGCTACAAATCAGTTTTCTAATTGAATTTTTATTAAAAAATATAAATGAAAATTTAACATATAAAATGAATACTAATTGAAAACTTTTCCTTTGTTATATGTAATTTCACTTAATAAAAAAATATTGTGAAAGGGTTGAATACAAAACTGGTTGGTGGTTCGTGACTTGTAACTACGATCCTCATTTCCCAGCCAATTGCTTGGGAGAAGCTCCCTACTAAACAAGAATTCACTAGCACACACATTTTGTGCCAAATCAATGAACTAGTTGATTTGAGCTTAAGAACTT